GGAGCCCCTTACTTGCCTTTCCCCCACGTTCGTCTGACTCGTTATGCTCGCAGAGGGTGTCCTGCAGACTCTGGAGTAGACAGGGCCTGCCTTGTAGCTCATTTATTTTCTCTTAAAATAGCAACACTTTAATTGTTTGCTTTAATTATATTTTTAGGAGAATTCAAAGGGTGATTATCTTCTTTGTCATACCTGGCTCATTTCCTGGTGCTAAACTCAAAATAGTATCTAATCCTGTTGGTTGCATAACACATTGAGTCATCATTTCTTCCTATTGCTGTTGGGAATAGCCACTGCTCGTGGCGGTTCCCGTTTCATTCAGTCTCACTCTGATACAACTGCCAATTTGATATTTCTTGGTTCTTTGAAACTGATAATCTGCCTTTCAGATGTTTGTTTTATTGAGTTTTCTCTAAGATTATTAAGTGCTCCCAAGTAGAAGAAATACTATGTATAAAAACAAGCATATTAGGTAACTGTGAAACTAGCATGTACTTTGAGGTCACTTATATTTTCCTGAAAAATGTTTACAAGAAAAACATCTTTCAGGGAAAAATTAGGATGATATAGAACTTCAGGACTTATAATATTATAAAATGATTGAAATTTAATTACTCATTGAATGCTAATTCAGTTCTATTTAAATAATTCTTTTAGTAGGAAAAATTTTATAGTCAGCTTTACAGAATGCTAATTTATGTTAATATTCAAAAGTACCAAGTAGTTTACCTATTTAATGATTTGAGAGTATTAACACCCTATTTTCTGTGTTCTTTGTAATATGAGGACCCCACATTTCTTGTCATTTTTATTATATATTTTTATATAAGTTGCAATGTTAAAAACTTTTATCTCCTTGAGAAAATATCTTAAGTTCTTAACTGTCACATTTAAAAATAATTTTCTTTACTTCCAGAAAGTAAAGCATATAGCAGAAAAGTATTGTTTTCTAACTTCAGAATTAAGAAAAACTTTAGCACGAGATGATTCATTTTAGTCCCTTCCCACCAGTGCCCTCATCTCCCAGGTCAGCATGTTTGCATTTGTTTATTTCTTCTCCTTTCCTACCACTGCATTATATAAACTCCATCCTCATACTTCAAGTCATGTAGAACCTGAAACCTGTCTGTTGAACATGCCCCTTCCCCCATCATTTTATTTTGTCAAAGTAATGTTTGTTATAGACTTCTCACAATGAAGGGAAAGGGTATATATACATTAATCAATTTCATTTGTGTTTTTACTTTTTTTCTTTTAGTGACATTTTATACTTCTGAAAAAATGGTGCTTTTTAACTTTCTATTGGCTAAGTGTGATTTTTAAGTGTAATATTTATTTGAGAATATTAACTAATAAAAATGTAGAGCAAAGCTTTATGTCTTTTTGAGGCCATCGTTGTATTGCAGTATTAAGAACATTACAGATGACCAGGAATTTTTCCTGTGTTCTTTCCATTATGCTTTAGAAATTACGAAGTGATAGAGTATTTCTTTTGTAATTTACAGTCATTTTATTCCTTTTACCCTTCTATTTAGTCTACATTTTCAATGCACAGTTTGATGTGAAGATAAATTCTTTTCCATATATATCACATCAATTTGTTGCTATTTTTAGGGGAAAAAAATCTAAGGAATATGAAATAACTCCTATTTACCATGAGTTGAAATTTTCAGAAATTGGAACTTGGTGGTACACGTATTGCAGGCTTGGCTTTGATTTTGGAAGCCTTTAAACTCATTTTTGTTAACTTGTTTTCTGACACGTCAGCTTCCAGCAGATATTTAGTGAGTGCTGAAGACACTCACTGCTGACCAGCATTTTCACACAGCAAGGAGAGAATACCCCACTCTTCCTGTTGCTCTCTCCATCTTAGGAACTCTGCAGTTTTTCTTTTCTGTAGCTCCATAGGGCTGCATATATTCACGTTGTTCCATTAAAGTATTAAATGAAAGAAGTTAATAACAAGAAGAAGAGTAGAGAGAGTGCCAGAATTAATGGAGTTAGAAGAGGCAATGAAAAATCTTGCGGTTTGTTCCAGAGAGTGGTAGGAAGGATGTTATTGACCAGCATTGATGTGATGTTAATCTTTACTTCTGAATGGAACTGTCCATTCAGAAGGTGAATGTGAATGCTCTCCTGGAAAAGTGTGTACAGAGTGCCATGGAAGCGTAAAGCAAGGGGCTTTTGAGCATTGCCTTGAAAGATAATTAGGGACTAGCTAGGCGTTCCAGGCAGAGGGCAGCTTGTACACAGGTTTGGATGCGAATGACTTCTGAAGGTGCTTTAAGTGATTTGGGGCTGGAACACAGAGTAGGTGTGCGAGGTTGGAGAAGGGGTTGGGCAGGTGGGCAGACTTAGTTCATCAGGTGCCTTCTGTGCCATGCTAAAATTTTCACAAATTTTACCCTGAATGTGGAATAAATCATTGTACTGTTTTAAGTAGGGGAAGAGCATGACCCTGTTTGCACTTTAGAAAGATTATCCTGCAAGAAATATGGAAGATGCATTGGAAGGGGCACGTTGCAAGTGAAGGAGGTCAATTAGAGATCTCCTGCTGGTGCGAAATGAGGGGGCCCAGAAGTTTGGCTGTATGAAAGGCAGGGAGATTTGCCAAATTGTGACCTGTTAGACAGGACTTAGAAAACAATTAGATGTAAGATCATTGGAAAAGAGGACATCTGGGATGACTTCTGGGTGTCTGTCTTGAGTAACTTGGTGAATGGAGATGCTTGCTGAATGTGAGATAGAATCTAGAAGAAGGATTGACAGGAAGTTGATTTGAACATGATAAAGTATTTAAGTAGAGATGTCCAACAGACAGGTAACTGCAGAGATACAGTTTAGAGAGAAGTTTGCGTTTGAAGTGGTGATTTGTATATCATTGGTATTACAGATGGGAAAAGTTAAGGATAGGAAAGAGACCTACTGGGCAGAGCTTCTATTTAGAGAGGAAGAAGGCTGAGATATAACCAGAGGCAGAAAAAAGAAAGGCAGGAAAAATGAGGGGGAGGAATCCAGAAGGCAAATGAAGAGAGGAATTCAAGGAGGAGCAGTGTTCAGGATTTGTGTCTCTGATCTTCAGAGGCAACGAGTTTAATAGGGACTGGTGCCCATTGGTTATGGGACAATATCATAGTGTCACTGGTAAGCGGAGCAAGAACGGTCTCGGTGAGATGAGTGGGACTAGAGCTGTGAGGTGGAGATGAGTGGGAGTGATGAAACGCATTTACTCTGTTCCCTCTAGACGCTTGTCTTAGATGGAGGTGAGCCAAGGCCATAGTGAGGCCTAGGGAAAAATTTTGGTGGGAGAGACTTGAGAATGGGGAGGTAGCAGATTGAAGGAGTCTAGAAATATGATAATTTCTATAGCTAGCTTTGTAGAAAGGAAGGAGGATTGGGAGCTGTGTAACAGTAATTCCATTGTACTTGTAGTGGCTTGAGGTGACCTTGGGAGCCAGTTGGATTAATTTGCCCTTATATTACTTTATTAATTTTTCTTTTTTGTCAGATAAAATAACTAGATTTTATTTTTTCATTAAACTCATTTCCTGACTGTAAACACTGACATAGCTGTCTATTCATTTTTTTACCAGGTGTGCTGTAAAGCACATTGTGTGGAGCACCTTTGAATTTGTCCTGTCCTTTCAAGCTTCCACCTCCCCTCAAAATGCTCAGACAGGTGCAAATAGTGAAATATGCCCTGTTCCCAAGCCCCGTTCATCCCTGCTCTATCAGTAGTGCTTTTGCCTCAGGTGGCAGCATCTATATGTGCTCTATCTCAGCCATTTCAGCTTTCCTCTTAGAATAAATTGAATAAATTTCTTCACGTATGAAGAAAACTCAGTGTACTTCAACAAATTTGAATAACGCTCTCTATCTGAGGAATTTCACATATCAGAATACCTATGGAAGAGAGACTTCTAGAGATGGTATTTTTAAATTTTATTTTTATTTATTCATTTTTATTTTATATATTTATTTATTTTAAATTGATATATAATTGGCATATAACTTGTGTAAGTTTAAGGTGAATGTGTTGATTTGATGTATTTACATATTGTAATATGATTACCACTGTAGCATTAGCTAACACCTCCATCATGTCACACAATTATTATTTCTTTTTTGTGGTGAGAACAAATTAGGAGATGTTACTTTTTTAATATCCACATTTTATTCATATGTTAAGCTTGTTCAGCCTACTTCATATTCCCATAGTCAAAATAAAATTTATAGAAAGGATTCTGCTTCACGGAATAATTAACCAGTTAGTTTTTGAACTACTTGTAAAAAATGAAATCTGTATATTTACAGAAGTTTCATTAAAATAATAGTGTTTCTGGACTAAAGAAAATCTGGCTTTGAGTTCTGTGATTGGCTGACCCCTTCCCAGTCATGCCTTTGGGCAGGTTCTCAGTATCTCTTCCATCTGAAGTGTGTGGTATTTGATAGAGCCTGATCACTTTCTAGCTACTGTTGTTCATCATACTCATTGCCAAATGGTAGAACTAGCGGGTTGACGCCCAGCAACCACTTGGACTGCTTCTGTCTTGTTTGAGTAGATGTATTACTTCTTTAAATGAGGCTCTATCATTCTGAGTACCAGGGTAACCTATAAAGGGTCATGAATTTTGCATTATACCTAAGTCATTTGAACTTGAAATTTGTGTGAACCAGACATCTCATAAAAGACTTCAGGCTTGAAGAATACAGAATCAGAACTATGATTCTTTTAATTCAACAGAAAATATTTATGAATGTATTTCAATAATATGGTAAGATTTAAAGATATTACTGCATATTTATGTGATGAAACCCTATACAATCATTACATTTTCTAGAATAACGAAGAATGAAATGCTTATTTAGTTAAAAGTAAAAGGGATACAAAAGTCTATAGACGATATTTCATTTAAAATTATATTCACAGAAAAAAATGTAAAATAAATTGCATAGTAAGGTAACACTTACTGAAGGAGCATAAAATCTTTCTATTTCAGCTAATCTTCCAGTGCCAACCATTGCAGCAATAGATGGACTCGCTTTAGGTGGTGGACTTGAACTGGCTTTAGCATGTGATATAAGAGTAGCAGGTGAGAATTAATCCTATATAAAAACATAACTTTTTAAAAATGAGGTTTGTGCTTACTCTTCAGATTGTTCCAAATATTTTATTTTTTTCCTGTTGTTGAATAGAACATGTAGAAAAAATCACCTGTTGGGCTTAATGAAGTATTTAAAATTCCCAGTTAAGAAAACAGTCTTTTGTAGTATCTTGTTCAGTCTTAGCAGGAGGAAAGGAGAACAGGAATTGGGTCAGACAGACTGAATTTGGATCTTAGGTCCTGCCCTTTTTAGATCAGTTTCCTCCTCTGAAATGGGAGAAATGACGGTTACTGTTGTGAAGATTAAATGAGTTTGTGTACAGCATGTGACTAGTCTAAGCACATAATTATTGTTAGCTATAGTAGTAATAACTTAATCTCTTTGAGGCACACTTTCTTCCTGCATGGTTTTCTGAAGACTGGATGAAGTGTTTATGAAAATAATGAAGGAAACAATTAGTGCTAACCATGTGCTGAGTATTGACTTGGTGTTCAGCTAATACTTGACACATATTAGCTCACTTAATCTGCCTAACATTCCTGTGAGATAGGTACATACTGTGGTGCTTGAGGAAGCTAGTGCAGAGACAGGTGAAGAAACAAGACCCAGATCAGTGATGAGCTGGATTTGAACCCAGGCAGTCTGGCGTCACGGCTCTCACTTCTGTTATCCTGCCAGCGTACTGCATGCTGCCAGTGCTGTCCTCAACACTATCTTCTGTATGGTCACAGTGCTGTCTGTATCCTTGTCCCTTATAGGGGTGACATACAGGGGCTCTGGGATCAAGGACTGGGCGAGGTAGGCAGCAAGTATTTGTCACGGTTCTTCCCCTGGTTCCCACTGTCTCTTCTGATGGAGCTGCCTGTTAAATGTAGAGTCAGTATAATTATGTTTTTACTAATTTTATGGTAACTGGCTCTTGGAATTTGCATTTGCTAATCCATGTGTACTTTTCCCCCATTTCACTTTATTTTAGATCTCTGTTTTCTTGACTGAGATTTTTGGGTTTTAAACTGAAAAGCCAAGTTACACGCAATCCATTTTTGAAAGAATGCAAGTTCTGGGAATTAGGATATGGGAAGTAGTCCAAGTACATTTGGATATGCAAATAAAGAAATAATTAAGATGTTTTAAAGTAGCCGTGAAAACAAACATGGAAAGAGGAACCCTGTCCAGCTGTCAGAACAGCAAAGCCATTTGTCAAAAGTAACTAGAGATTTGGTCTTGAAAAGTTGCCATGTCTGATATGATATATTAAGCTGTTTGATCTGGAGGGCTGTTCAGGCAGCTAAAGAATTCATACTTGTCAGACACAGCCTCTCTCCTCATCCTGAATAATTAATGAGATCTAAGCCTTCAAACATGACTTGGCAGTATCAGGTCAAATTATGTAGTCACAACCCTGGTCTTTCTGCATCAAAAATTAATTCTCTGCCAAGCAGTTTTTAACAGAAAATGTTGTGTGAATCTCTTAATATATGTCATTTAGAATGTTTACTTATTTCCATAACTAAATGCCTTCTGAAGTGATTTTTAAAAAGATTTGAGACACAAATTTAATTAGTAAACAATATTTGTAGCTTATTTTCCTAACTTTTTCAGGTCATCATATTTGAATTTGATGATGTGGATGTTACTTAATTTTCTTCTTTCCTTTTTAGCTTCTTCTGCAAAAATGGGCCTGGTTGAAACAAAGTTGGCAATTATTCCTGGTGGAGGTATGGATTGTTCACGCCCATCTTGATTTGTTCCTCAAAACAGAGCATAAGGCAAAAAGGTGTTAGTTGAAAAGGCAACATTTTGGGTAAAGAGACTAATGCTGTGTTGTTTGCTTCTGTAATCAGAGTCCTTATTCAGAATGCATTCTTTAGCTTCCGTAGGTGTGAAGATTGCAGACCTGTTGCCTGTTGCTCTCTTTTTGTGCTGCGTCCTGTGCTTTTCTGTTAGATTTCTGAACTTTAAAATTATTGCATCAGTCACATTATTCTTGAAGGATAACACCGATATTTTGAAACTTTTATGTCAGTATGTAAATGTGTGCGTCCTCAGAGAGCTTTATACACACAGTCAGACCCCAGTGGAGGAGGGGGCAGGGCTTCCCAGGCTTCATGCCAGCTTACTGTGTTTCTCTGCAGCTGGACAAAGGTTAGGGTTGGTGGGTAGCCTGAATTTTGAGCTGAGGAGGTGTTGTTTCTTCTGTTACTACAAAAAAGGTGAGCAGCTTCTGTTGGAAGACTCATTTAAGAAAGTACTTTTCCACCATTGATAATGAAATCTGCATCACCAGATAAATCTGAAATTTTTGTTCTTTCGTCTGATGCAGAGAATCTGGAGACATTCCCATTCTGTGAAGTCATTCTTTCAAAAAGTTGACTTCACCTGAGGATGTGCACATTGATAACATTAGTTTATGAATGAAATAACAGTAATAATGTAAAAATTAAAGGCAGTGTTTGAATACTTCCTTTGTACCTAAGTTAAAATTATATGTTTAACCTTATCATTATAAGAATATTTATCCTGGTTAAGGTGTATAGGTAGAGATAAAAACATAATTCAGTGAAACTGAAGACTACCCAGATCAATATATAAGACTCACTGAGTTTTCTACTTTGGTAATCCGCAAAAATAATATTCTTGTAGGTAAAAGCATTTACTATCTACCTGTTTTACCATGCCAATCTTTTTCACAGTGACTCATGAAAACCCTAAAAGGATTTATAAGAAAATAGACCCAATTGAAAAGAATTATCAGGTAAAAATATGTGAAATAATACAAGGTTTAGAAAAAGGATGATATGACATGTTTCTGAAATTCTTTTAAAGAAGTAAGCATTTATTCATAATTAGGATATGACTGAGCCTAGAAAGATAGTGACTGTAGTTGAATGGTGGGCCTCCTGAGAGATATGTCAATCTGGAACCTATGAATGTGACCTTATTTGGAAAAGGGGTCTTTGCAGATGTAATTAACTTAAGGATCTTGAGATGATTTCATCCTGGATTGTCTGAATGAACCTCAGATTCAATGACAAGTATCTTTATAAGAAGAGGAGAAGATTCAAAAAAGAGAAAAAACAAAGAGAAGAAGGTCTTGTGAAGACAAAGACAGAAGAGATTGGAGAGATGCATTTGCAAGTCAAGGAAGAAAAAGGATTGCTGGCAGCCATCAGAAGCTAGGGGATTCTTCCTCAGAGCCTCCAGGAGGAACCAACCCTGCCATCATCTTAATTTTGGACTTCTGGCCTCCAGAACTATGAGAGAATAAATTTCGGTTGTTGTAAGCCACCAAGTTTGGTAATTTTGTTACAGCAGCCCTAGGAAACTAATACAGTGGTTTTTAATGTTTAAGTAAGTTTTTTGGAAAGGGAATTAGTAGGTGGCAGAGACAGGGGATAGAAGGAAAATGAACCTGATAATTTGAATATTTACCAAGTCCCGGATATGAAATGTTTTGTATTAAAACCACCAGAAGATAATACTGTTGTGTGGGAGTATAGTTGGGCTTGATTAGATGCAAAAAGCTTAATTGATTATACTAAGAAATGAGGGTGGTAGCTTTAGCTCCTTCCATTTTCCCTTGGGAGCTGTCTGTGTCATATTAGGTCTAGAAGTTAGCATTTTCTTCACAGTGTACTTAAGTTCTCTGGGGTCCTTAACAAATTTGTTTGTTATAAAACTCAGAATGCTTTAACATTTTCCATTTGTTTATAAAAGATAGTTTTCTTTTTGTTTTCTTTCCTTTTTTTCTAAGTGAGTCTGAAGGAATATTAGTTACTCCTTTAATAATATAATGAAGTTTTCAAGTTTATAGCTCATAGTGCATGTAATTATGTAGCACTGAATTTTTTATTGAAAATGAATCTTAATTTTGTATAAGGCCACTTACATTTAGATACTAAGAGGTGCATGCACAATTTTTGCTTTAGTTTTATATTAGCATTATGGCTATTAAAGTACCCCAAGTAAAGCCTGTTTTTTTTTTTTTTTTTTTTAAATAATAGCAGAACAGTTTGTTTTAAGTAAGGATTTTTTTTTAAGTGTATCTAAAGGAGCTATTTCTGAAAATTTTATGGAGAAAATCCTCTTCTGTCCTATGCATAGAAGAATTTTTTTAATCCACAGATATTTTCTCCAATTTCATTTCTCTCCTCCCCTTTCTCTTAGATCAGGGGTCCCCAACCCCCAGGCCATGAACCGTCACTGGTCCATGGCCTGTTAGGAACCAGTCCATACAGCAGGAGGTGAACAGTGGGCAACCGAGCGAAGCTTCATCTGTATTTACAGCCACTCCCCATTGCTCGCATACTGCCTCAGCGGCGGCATTAGATTCTCATAGGAGCGCAAACCCTTCTGTGAACTGCACATGTGAGGAATCTAGGCTGCGCCCTCCTTATGAGAATCTAATGCCTGATGATCTGAGGTGGAGCTGAGGCGGTGATGCTAGTACTGGGGAGTGGCTGCAAATACAGATTATCATCAACAGAGAGGTTTGACTACACAGAGACCATAATAAATCAGTTGCTTGCAGACTTATATCAAAACCCTATCAGTGAGTGGCAAGTGACAATTAAGCTGCATCTGGTAGCAGGCTTTATAGTGGCAAGTGAGTTGATGTACTTCAGCTGTATCTGGTGGCAGGCTTGAAGTCAAATCTGATACTTATTTTAGTCTGTGTGTGGCCCGCCCATTTTATTTACCACTTCCATCTGCGCCTCTTTGCCACATTGCGCACTTGTCTCAGTCACATGTAAGCCCACAAGCTAACCCTAGCCAAAATGAGTAAAAAACAAACGTCACTGGAGAGCTTCTTTGAAAAGGGGGAGAGACCTAATGAGGAGACAGCAGAAGAGCCTAAGACTGCCAACAAAAAGAAAGCTGCATTTAAAAGAAAATACCAAGAGTCCTTAAATTATGGGTTCATTGCAACAGGTGATTCACATTCTCCAAACCCGCTTTGTATAATATGTGGTGACTGGCTATCCAGCAAAGCCATGAAACCTTCAAAACTGCTTCGCCACATGGAGACCAAGCAGCCTGCATCAAAAGACAAGCCTTTGGAATTTTTCAAAAGAAAAAAAAAATGTGAACACGAAGGACAGAATCAATTATTGAAGGCCACCACTTCATCAAATGTGTCTGCTCTGAGAGCACCATTCTTAGTGGCTAACTGCATTGGTAAAGCTAAGAAGCCCTTTACTATTGGTAAAGAGTTGATCCTGCCTGCTGCTGAGGACATTTGTCGTGAACTTTTAGGAGAGGCTGCATTTCAAAAGGTGACACATGTTCCTCTTTTGGCTAGCACCATAACTAGATGAATTGATGAAATAGCAGAGGATATTGAAGCACAATAGTTAGAGAGGATTAATGAGTCACCATGGTACGCACTCCAGGTTGACAAGTCTACTAATGTTGACAACAAAGCAACAATGCTTGTTTTTATGTGACATATTTTTCAGGAGGATGTGCATGAAGATATGTTATGTGCACTTTTGTTGCCAACTAACACCACAGCTGCAGAACTATGTCTTTGAATGATTACATATCAGGAAAACTGAATTGGTCATTTTGTGTTGGTATATGCACGGACGGAGTGGCTGACATGACTGGACAGCTTTCTGGTTTTACTGCTCGGGTCAAAGAGGTCACTTCTGAATGTGAGTCTACGCACAGTGTCATCCACAGAGAAATGCTGGCTAGCCAAAAAATGTCACCTGAAGTTAACAATGTTTTGCAGAATGTGATTAAAATTATCAACCACATTAAAGTACGTGCCCTTAACTCACGTCTGTTCATGCAGCTCTGTGAGGAGATGGACGCAGAGCACACACATCTTCTCTCATACACAAAAGTGAGATGGCTTTCTGAAGGTAGATCACTGGCCAGAGTTTCTGAGTTACCAGAGCCGCTCCAGAGATTTCTTTTAGAAAAAGAGTCACCACTGGAGGCACATTTCAGTGACACAGAATGCGTCGCAAAACTTGCTTACTTGTGTGACATATTCAACCTCCTCAACAAACTCAATCTGTCACTTCAGGGGAGAATGACAACTGTGTTCAAGTCAGCAGGTAAAGTGGCTGCGCTCAAAGCCGAACTGGAATTATGGGGGCAACGAGTGCACTTTGGGATTTTTGACATGTTTCATACATTAGCAGAGATTTTGAAGGAGACTGAGCCAGGGCCTTCTTTCTCCCAGCTGGTGCATGATCACCTATCTCACCTTTCACAAGAGTTTGAGCATTACTTCCTAACCACAGAAGACCCCCGAGCTGAGAAGGAATAGATCCGCGAACCATTTGTGAATAAGCCAGGTGAATTGACTTTGTGCGTGCTAGGAGAGGATCAGCTGCTTGAGGTCACAAATGAGGGTGGCCTCAAAAGTATTTTTGAGACAACTTCAAATCTCCATACATTCTGGATTAAAGTCAAGGCGGAATATCCTGAGATTGCCACAAAAACACTGAAAACCCTGCTTCCATTTCCAACAACCTATCTTTGTGAAGCAGGGTTTTCTGCAGTGACAGCAACCAAAAAGAGATTACGGAGTAGATTGGGCATAAGCAACACACTTTGGGTGTCCCTGTCTCCCATCACCTCCAGATGGGACCATCTAGTGGCAGGAAAACAGGCTCAGGGCTCCCACTGATTCTGCATTATGGTGAGTTGTATAATTACTTCATTGTATATTACAATGTAATAATAATAGAAATAAAGTGCA